ACTTGCACAAACAATCCAAGGTAGCTAAATCTGTTACAATAAAATAATCCAAGAGAGAGTTTCCAAAAAGTAAAAGTCTCATATATTTCCAAAAAATGAAAGTCTCATAAGTTTCAATCAAACGAAAAGAAACGCCCTTCCGCAGCCATATTCCTTCTTCTTCAAATTAGAATAAATACAAAGAAGATTCCAGAGTTAAGGTCCCATTTCGAACAGTTTTCAAAAAATCCTGTTAGGCTCTGTCTGCATGATAGGTGTACTCACAGTCATTAATTTCCTAAAACAGCAGAGATTAGATGCGCGTCTGGCTTCGTTCTATTGAACGAAGGAGCCCGAAGCACGGAGAAGTCCCCAACTCTGGGGGAGCTCACCTAGCCCTCCCAGCTGGAAAAATGCGAAGGCTAAGGAGCTCTACCCCTATCGGGGAAGCTCACCCCCTCCCCTTTGCCCGGGGAGGGGGATTGAGCCGCGGAACAGCTGTTCCTGCGGCTCTAACGTGTCCTCGGGGCAGGCAGCCTCGAAGGGAAGCTGCCATCGGCGCCGCGATCCAACCGGAAGCTCCAGTAATACTCTGACTCTTGACAGAAGGGGCATGTTGAAGTATGGGGTGCCTACTATTGGGTTTTCCCCTCAAGGTATTTAAGCAATGATTTTATTTTTCACCACAGATACACAGAAGCACATCTGCTCATCCATCAGTGTTGCTACTGATGGAGTAGCTCTTTTTTATTTGGCCTGGACCTGCAATGTGTCTTGTGTGTGCAATCCAACATAGCCTGGAAAATATAGTGTTAGAATTTAATTGCAGAAATTAATGTCTAAATCTCTTTGGGAAGCAGCTGGAGAAAAAGATGTGCTTTGCACTGTAGTAAAAGGATAGACTCCTCTTTCAGTGCTTATTCCAAACATACTCGCTGCTTTTGAATTCCACATTGTTTAACCACTTTTCTCTACTGTAGCCACTAATCAGCCGCAATTATAAGGGAGATGTCAGCATGTCGGAGATTGATTACTTCATGCCACTCTTCATACAAAAGGAGGAAGATTGTGACCTGACCCCAGTCCTCTCCCATGGAAAGGTTCATTTCCTTTGGATAAAGCATAGCAACCTCTACTGTATCCTTTCAGAGTCTGAACACAAAGTTATGGGATTCTGCCACCCTGCAAAGTTTATGCCTCAAACAAAACAAGCATCTTATTTTGTTATGAAGAGCAGATCTGTAGGGATTGAGGATATATGGCCATACTTGAGAATGGCTCCCTGCTTTGTACTTGGTTGTATGTAAATGCTTTTGTATATGCACTAGAAATTGTCATTAACCAAGGAATAGAAAGAGGTGGCATGTAAGTTTTGCTTTGCTGGATCACACCCTGTAAGCTAGTGTTTAGTGTCAAAGATAACAGGTAGTCCTCAACTTACAACTATAATTGAGTCCAAAATTTCCATTGCTAAGCAAGTTAGCAAAATGAGTTGCACCTCATTTTACGACCTTTTTTGCCACTATTGTTAAGGAAATAATTGCAGTTAAGTGAATCATGTGGTCGTTAAGCAAATCTGGATTCCTCCATTGACTTTGCTTGTTGGAAGCTAGCTGGGAAAGTTACAAATAGTGATCATAGGTCCCTGGGACAGTACTGAATAGCTGTCATAAGTAACATGCCAGTTGCCAAGTGCTCGAATTTTGATCAACTGGTCATAAGTCACTTTTTTCCAATGCTGTTGTAACTTCAAATGGTCACTAAACAAATGGTTGTAAGTCAACCATTGTGGTTGTCTCAGAAAAGCTTGCATACAAGATATGACATGATAGAGTTTCTCCTTGATAATTAAAGGAATACAATCTCTGAATATAAAACATATCAGTGCTAGTATGCAATGATAATTGTTAGTATTAGCCTTTTGTACCTATTTTTTTAGTCAATTAGAATATGAATTCCAGTGTTATAATCTTATTTATGAATTTATAACTTGAGCCACCAACTTCAACTTACAGAATAGTTACTGGTATAGGAAAAATAGTGAAAGTATGGGTCAAATAAAACATGTAGCCTTATAACAGATTAAATCAGCAGTAGTCCATTTGATAGATAATTGTTTTGTGTTTATTGAATTAAAATAATTAACATTTGCATTTTAATTTTTTTCTCCTATCTATATAAATAAAAATGTAAATGTTCGTTTGTTCAAAATCTTAAATCTCCGAAAGTTCTTCACCGATTGCTTTGAAATTTTGACACAACGTTGCATTCGAATACGCACGTGTTTTTATATACTTATAGCTGTACCCAGCCACACATTGCTGTGGCTCAGTCTGGTTAAATGGAAAAGAAAGAAAAGTGAAAGCGCACATTTGTAATATGTTTAATTTCACAATGCTTGTGGGTATGCTTTTACATCCAATAAATGGCACTGTTTTTCAAAAAAGCATGTTTTTACCTGTCACAGGTGTGACATCTATATAATAGTAGGTACATAAAAACACACGCATATTCGAATGCAACGTTATGTCAAAATTTCAAAGCAATCGGTGAAGAACTTTCGGAGATTTAAGATTTTGAACAAACGAACATTTACATTTTTATTTATATAGATATTATATAGATTTATTTTGTTTAGATTTATATACCGCCCTTCTCCCGAAGGACTCAGGGCGGTGCACAGCATATTAAAAACAAGTAACAATAAAATACCAAAAAAAATTAATAAATACCAAAATAAAAACCCCTCTAAGACCAAATTAAAAGCCAAATATTAGTAGCTGTGTCGTAATTAAAATTATATTAAAATCATCCCTAACTAAAATCCT